AGTGAATTCCTCTTTCTTCTTAATTCCTCATGTCCTTTTTTTTTTCCAATTAAAAAAACACCTGAAGAGATCCAAAATTAAAAAATTCTTTCTGCTGCAATCAAACACTTCTCATGCCTTACATAAGCATAAATTTTAAGGTAAAGAAAATTAAATTCATGTATTCCAAGTGAGAGAATCTCATTTTGTACCATTTTTCCCTCCAGATTATGCAAAAAACAAAGAACAGGGCCATTCATGTGTATATTTTTAATGATGGGTCTCAGAATGACAAAGAAATTGAAGTGTTGGATCAGTCAACAGTTCAGACACTCAGGCACAGTGGTTTGTAAATTCATCTCTGTGGTATCTTCCCTGAAAAGCTAGTTTATATCAGAAACAAATTTATTGCAGTAACTGATTCAGTTTCCAGAGCCACCTGTCTCTATCTCTCTGTGATTTTTTTTAATAACAGCTCTTAATCTCTACTGTTCACTAATAAAAATATTTTAATAAGAGATAATACTGTAATCCAAATGCCTATAGGTGCTTGAATCAACTATCTCTGCCTGTGTAATTGCTAGCACTTTGTTCAACCCTTTTTAAAATTACTATAAAATCTCATTCTCATTTTCTGTATTAATAGAACAAGAATTCATTTTTGGTGTACCCTCCAAGCAGTAATGAGCATTGTTAACATGTAACAACAATGCCCAAGGGGGAAGTTTTCAAAGCTGGCCTAACCTTAAGGCTTTGCTATTGATGTACTACAGAGTCATCAACCCAAGAGCTCTTAGAGCTAGTCCATTTGGAGAGTTCAGCTGAATATTTCTGTTTAATATATTGGAAGAATTATAAATGGTTTAGGTGGTGACCTAGGGAGAAGGGGGATTTTTTGTTAAATAGCTTAAGAACAGAGGGGCAACATTAAAAAATTAATGATACCTCCTGCTCATTTTAAAGTGTATCACATTGTGCTTTTGTTCTGATGATTTTGCTTCCATACAGATTTTTTCATAAGAGGTTAATGAGAAAACATTAACAAGGCATGCAATATTGCACATGGGCAGGGGAGCTGAAACATAGTCATTTAGTTATAAACAAACAATAGATGTTACTTTTTAATTGCTTTTTCAGAAGCCCAGTTCTGCCTTCCTGAAGAAGTATTATCTATCTTATTAAATTCAGAATATTATCCTTATTTATTATGTATAGCAAAAATGAACCTGCCTAAAGCAGTAGTGCTTCACTGATTCCAACTGAATGCCTTGGTCACAAAAAACCCAATAGATTAAAAGTCCTGTATGAGTTGTAGTACAGCAAAATGACCTCCTGGAATGCTAGAATTTGACATTCAGTCTTTAGGTTAGCTAAAGGTAGCAGTAATGGCTTCCGGGGTCCATGGGGTAAAAGTAGAGGCTCAAGAACAGGGTATTACAGCAGTGATACAGAATAACATCATTTTCATTGCACTTTTTGAGTTTGAGTCTTAGTTTCATTACTGAGAAAGGTATAGAAGTACATTTTACATAATGGTTGAATGTTTCAACAGAGATCTATTCATACACAGTTCCAAAATCTGAAACTCTAGTGGAGAAGCAGGGGTAGGAATGTTCTTTTGCTGGAATTCAATTTGTCTATGAAGTGAATGTATAAATTGTTGTCATTTAGCTGTATTGTTTCGCAGCACTTGGTCACACCATTGCCTTTTCCTTGGATATAAGCTAAAGGTCATTATGTCCTAAAACAACTAAGTATGAACAGACAAGTTCAATAACGTTGAAGCTCAGAATTGTTGACAGTCCAAGAAATGTGCTGCATGCTGTATATTTCTGTACAGTTTTTAAATTCAGGGGATATAGGAGCAAACTTACTGGTGAATTAAGATTCAGACCCTTGGAATTTCATAACCTCATGTTTTTCAGTTAAAAGCCGGGCCTGATAACTGTGTTTTCTGGGGAATTATTGGTTTCTGTTGCAGGAAGGGACTTCCAAGAGAGTACTTTAACAAGGGACCTCTTATAAAATTTTATTTAATGTTTGTTTTTAATTCTCAAAATAAATTAAATAGAGTTGCGATGTTGAATCTGATAACAGGAGGACAGAAGTTTTTACAAAGCATGAATGAAGGCTTTATAGATTTTCTTCCACCCCTCCTTCCAGGTTACTCCACACTGTACTGTATGTTTCATTCTCTTCATAGCATGCATTTGACATTCTGTATATTCCATTTATCGCCTTAAAATGTGGCTTTCTCCTGGGCTGTTGCATAGGGAAATTAATCCCCAATGCTTCTTTAGTCATTGTCTGCTTTGCATGCATTGTCAGAAAGATGGTTGATGACAGCACTGTAAGGAGGAACCATGACTTCAACACATTTCTCAGGGAGCACTAAGATGTAAGATGTGCAGATTCTTGGACGCCGTGTTGCGCGTGTATTTCATATAGTTTAGTTCTTGTGACTCTGTGTTTGGACCTCAGCAGAAGGTTTAGAGTTATGTTTGAAGTAGAGGTTTCCCTCGCTTTTCAAGGTATAGGTTCAGCTTGAAAAGTCTTCCCCAAAGTTTCTCACAGAAATTTCTGGAAACCTCAGTCCTCAGCAGGCCAGTCCCTATATGGCCTGTCAGTGATCTCCAGTTGGTTCAGGACTGCTGAGTATCCAGACTATGTTATTTTTACATTTACATGTGGACTAGACATATTGTCTGATATCAAATCTATAGATTAGCAGCAAACTTGAACCTTTCCTTTCTGGTGGCTGTTTGACTTTCTTTTTTCTTTTTCCCACAGTTACCTCAATTTGTTTTGTCATTTTTTCGATAGGGAGCAAAAGAAAAGGCAAAGCTTTCCCTAGACCTGCTCTCTCACCTCCAGAGTCCGCTCATGTTTGAGTTGTTCCTGAGTCATGCATCCTATTTCTTAAACAACCATTGCTCTTCTGATATATTAATTCATTCATAATGCTGGCTTGGTTTTCCTTGAACTCCCTGCTGCAGTTCTTCTCTGGTTCACACAGACACTTGTTCCATTCTCCCTGCTGGATTTAGTGTTCTTTAGAAAGAATGAATGTTTATGAGCTTCAACTGATAAATACATGCATTTGAATCTGCGACTGATTTGTGGCTGGATTGTTTTTGATGACTTTTATCTGTAGCTGATTTGCATCTATTTGGCTCAGACTTGCTGGGAGTAACACATAGAATAAATTAATAAATAAATTTGAAGAAAAGGAAAGTAAAAAACGGATGAATGAATGGATGATAAGGAAAGAGAGGAAGACTAAATAGAATGGGATAGATGAATGGTGATTAAGAAACACAGAAAAATAAGGAACAAGTAGTGATCAAAGTAGGGAAAAGAAATAAAAAATATTCAAGAGTAAAAAGAATAGAAAGTCTGAAAATTATAGGAAGTGTGAAAAAGAAATAAGTAAGAACTTCGTGTCTGATTACACAAAAGTATCAATGAGCTGCTTTTAATTTTGTGAATTATGTGCACCAACAAAGGGAAGAGTTTGTATGGGGAACCACAAAACAATGTCCAGGGTCATCCAAGATTCGCAGCACTAAGTCTTGCCCATTTGATCGAGTTAAGTGTTTGCTACGGGGCTTATATATACACTGAACTCACTGTAGCAATGTCACTGCGTCTTTTGCATGGTTCCATGTGAATTTCTTCTGTAATGAATCCTCATTTTCCTCTTTCAGACTTGCTGTTTTGGGCTAGCATTTCTTTGTGCCCTCCAATCCGACCTCTGTTCTTTTATCAGCGTGTAAAATTAACTGAGAAACAACAGCGAAACAACTAAGCACTACTAACAAGACTTCTTTGACTTAGTCACATTGAAGCCCCCTTGTCTTTTCCATCCATTTCGATATTCCTGCGTGTTGTCCCTTGTCACTGTCATCTCAGAAGCTCTCTTAGCACCTGCAGGGAGAGAGTACCTTCAATCAGCGTTACACATCACACCTGTACTGCACAGCACTAACCATACAGAACGTGAGTCTATGAAACTGATACTGTGGCTGAGGAGGGAAAGCCTTTGTTGCTGCACTGCCTGCTCTCTCGGGCACCTGACTTCAGAATTCCTCACTGTTCACAAAGCGACAACAATTGTTGCTTCTCCTGCCCCCACGTTTATTTTTTCCATGTTTTATTTGGAGGTCAGGGGAGCTTTCAGGCACTGCCAGTTTGCCTGCTTTCTCACTGCTTTTGAGCTCTGTTCAAGAAACTCTTACTGTAGTGCTAAACTTTAAACAGATGACTTTGATTATAGGTATTCACATGTTAATAATAAAATACGTGTTTAAAGTGCCTTACTGTTTTAGTTTTGAAGATAAAAACATTTCCACAGCGTGCCTGCTTTGCATCTATCACAGAAAGGGTTCTTAGACTTAGTTAGAGTTTCTAATAGTTAATGGGCAGTACTTCACCACTGTTATGTGTATATTTACACTGACTCTAGTGGTTCCCCAGAACCCAACTGAGAGTGGACTCTCACAGTAAGTATTAAAAATTGTGATGTTCCCTGTTCCAAACACCTTACAGGCTGTGCAAAGAGGGCAAATGTAGCAAGTAAAATAAAGAAACATAAAATGGTAGCACAGAGACCATCATATCAAGCATCATGTGAGTTTCACAGGGGTTGATGTATAGTATTGGCGGAAATTATTTTATGCCTAAGTCATCTCAGGAGAGAAAAGATTGCCCAGTAGCTCAGGCAAACCATGAAGATAAGCTTTTGTTCCTTGTTTTGAATCCCTGGACACACAGGGATGCTGGGACATTTCTCATGGTGACGTCTCTCATTCATCCCCTGAGGAATGAGTCACAGAAGTTGAGATGACAATTCTTGTCTTGAAATATACATGTGTTAAATAAAAAATACCCATCAGAAGGAAAGCATATCCTCTGCAGTAGGAGAAGTTTTGGGAAGATGATTTATTTATTGATGTCTCTCCTCTCTTCCCCTCTCACCCCGATTTTTTTTTCTTTTTTTTGGTTTTGTTTTGTTTTTACAGCAGTTGTATGCTGCCCAACTTGCTGCGATGCAAGTGTCTCCGGGAGGCAAGATACCTGGCATACCCCAGGGTAACCTTGGTGCTGCTGTATCCCCTACCAGCATCCACACAGACAAGAGCACAAACAGCCCTCCACCCAAAAGCAAGGTACTGTACCAGGCCTGGCAGCATTGCCTTTCTGACAATGTGGGGACTTGCATGTGTTTTTTTCTGAAGGGTGTCTGTGTGCCTCTCAGTTGCAGCAGCTTTGCTCTCAGGATGGCTCCCTGAACTGGGAGCATATTCATAGTGCCATTTTTCCAGTGGGAAGACCCCAGTGCAGTAGTACCGAACAACCATTCTTACACAATGTTGGTAGCAGACCACCTCGGCTGAGATCCTGTGGGTTCCCTTGCCATGGCCTGGCTATCACAGTGCTGTTCCTTCATTCTTCAGTAACAGGTGGCAGGCCAAGGTGACCAGTCTCCTATTCCAGCACACAACTGTTGTTTCCTTTCAACGTGGGGTCCAGTTAGCAGCGTGTCAGCAAGAGATGAAAAGTGTTGGGACCCTTCATCTGTGGCCGTATTCTGTCCTGGAGTAGAGCTGGAGTTTGTGGAGGAACAAGTACAGACTGGGGAATGAGATGCTGGAAATCAGTGCCGCAGAAAGGGACCTGGGGGTCCTGGTTGATGGCAAGTTGAATATGAGCAGTACCCTGGCAGCCAGAAGGGCCAACCCTGTTGTAGGGGGCATCAGGCAGAGCATCACCAGCCGGTCAAGGAGGATATTGTCCCACTCTGCTCTGCACTGAGGCGGCCTCACCTTGAATATTGTGTGCAGTTTTGGGAGCCACAATATAAGAAAGACATTAAGCCATTAGAGGGTGTCCAAAGGAGGGCAGTGAAGATGGTGAAGGGCCTTGACGGGAAGTGTATGAGGAGGGACTGAGGTTGGTTGGTCTGTTCAGCTGGGAGGAGACTGAGGAGAGACCTCATTGCAGTTACAAGTTCCTCATGAGAGGGAGAGGAGGTGCAGGCACTGATTTCTATGTGGTGACCAGTGGCAGGACCTGAGGGAGTGGCCTGAAGTTGTGTCAGGGGAGGTTTAGGTTGGATATTAGAAGAAGGGTCTTCACCCAGAGGGTGGTGTGGCACTGAACAGGCTCCCCAGGGAAGTGGTCACAGCAGCGAGGCTGACAGAGCTCAAGAAGTGTTTCGATGATACTGTCAAGCACATGGTGTCACTCTTGGGGATGGTCCTGTGCAGGGCTAAGAGTTGGACTCGGGATGATCCTTGTGGGTCCCTTCCAACTCAGCATATTCTGTGATTCTGTGAAGTCTCCAAAGCAGTGTCTGTTGTGTCACAGACCAGAGGTGAAATCTGTCCACTGAGCCATGGGCTCTGATGAGTAATCTTGGACATAGCTGGGCAGTTCAGTCCATGCTCATTTAAGAGGTCAAGCTCACAGCTGGGAGTCCCACCAGTATAATGCCCTCATTGTGTGACTAGCTATACCTAGGGAAAAGGTGCAGAATATGTCCAGTCAAAGGTGAGCTCAGTGTATGCCACAGCTGAGCAAAATTAACAGGTTAACATTCAATGGCACATCTTAGATGTTGCAAAACAACTAGGGAGATTTTAGCTGAAGAATACAGGGAGAAAACAGTCCTATTTAGGTGACAGCAAGAGCTTCATAAAAATGTGTCCTTTCTTTTTGTTAGTGTCCTCTAGCATGCTGTCCATGTCCTTTATCACATTAGGAAAGATGCCTTGAACTGACAGTAGTGTCTTGTTTTTACCCTAACAGTAAAACAGCCCAGATTAAAAATAACCAGACAAATAAATAATACCATTGTCAGCTCAGTGAGATACATGTTCAGGGAATAAAAGACATGACTTGAAATCAGTAGCTGTTGTGTTAATGAGTCAAGCTCATCTGTGCTGTCTTTATTCTCTCCTTAGTGTAGACTGTCTGACTTCCTGAAGTTTATCCTTGGCTTGATCCCTTCTCTTAGAGTAAGGAATCACAAAGCTGTGCAGTGCTCGATGGTAGACTTTTTGAGGGGTTAAAAAAAAAAAAAAAAAGTTATGTCTGTGGTTAACAAGAGATTTTTATGCGTTTTACAAGGAGGGTTTATGTGTGGCTAGTAGCTTGTGAGATCTCCTTCACTTAAAATCTCAGTGTTGTTTTTGGTTCTCTTGTGCGTAAGCAGAATGTCTGATGAGATCTAAGGGACACGGTATGTATTTTGTGGCAATTGCAGGATTAGAAGGCCTGCCATATCTACTGGTAACATTAAGCATAACCATCTTAACTGGCAGCTGTCAAGATCAGCTCTATTCTCCCATGTATTTTATTACTTTTTCATATTTGTAGGTGTTGCAGTACCTTTGGCTTGCAGGTCTGTCGGAGACAAACAAAACTTACTTGCAAATTGGGAAAAAAAAATTTAAAAAGTGGGCCAAAAGGAAAGAAAGGGGGCTCCAAAAGGCTGTAAAATTGTGCAGCGTAAGCCCTGTGATGCATGCTGTTTTCAATCTGCTGTGTGCCAGTTGGAGGCTCAGAGAGAGCGCGAGAGAAAGAGAAGGGATAATGCTGAGAAATGATAGAGTGGCTGTGACCTCCAAGCTCAGCCTGGAAATCCAAGACATTGATTTCACTTAGCATTCCTGCTGAGAAATCCGGCGGAGTTCAGTTGTAATAAAAGAACAAGATTCTGTTCTAATGGTAATGGCGTATGACAGACATATCACTTTGTCTGTCCTCAGCACCAGGGAGAGGAGAATTGGAGAAAGGTCACCTGACCTGCCTGTGCTGTTGTGCGAGTGCTGTTCTGAGCTTTGAACCCCGGCCTGGAAGCACAATTATTTATAATGCTAAACGATAAAGAAACCTTTATGGAGCCTACAGTAATTAGAATAAAGCTTATACAATAGTGCAGTGGCCTGGCTCAGAAAACATGCTGGCAAATCCGTCACAACGGTAGAAACTGAAGCTTATGTGTTGAAACTAAACACCTTCGTTTGTGTCTGTGTGGATCTTCCTTTGCTTTTTCAGAGACTGTTTGTGTTCAACATCCCCAGAAGTTTATTGTGTTTGCTATTTTTTTTTTTTAATTTAATTTTTCTAGCTGTTGTCAGGGCGTACCTGTCGGAGTTTTCCAACCATATTTTAATTTTTTTTTTTTCTTAATCCCCAGCAGCAATTTTGTTCTTGGAGCTAGTTTGTGATGGTCTTTCTCGCTGTTACTGTACATCAGACCTCCACAGATGAACAGTTAATGCCTTAGACAAGCTTTCAATAAATGCTGTTTACGGAATCTCTGTTTTCAGCCCACAGTTTACACTGGCGCAGCTTTGATTATACACTCAAGTGTTTGGAGACAAGGAGACAGCCTTACCTGAGAGTGTGTCAAGCTACTGGCAAACATCTAGGTCACTTCTGAAAAGCTGTGGCTTTTTTCCTCTCTTGTGTAGTGTTAAAGTTAGTGTGCTGCTCTTTGCAAGGATTCTTCAAAGTCGGCCTCAGCAGCAGATGGAACAACTGTTGGCTCTAGAAATGCTGAGAAGCATCAGGGGGAGTTTGCCAAGGATCATCCTTTAAATCTAGCAAGACTTGAAAACATCCCTGAAACTCCTCTAAGACCTTGGCAACTCTCGTTTTGGCAAACCTTTTATCAGTGGCCCTCACCAGTGTTTGAACACTGTGCTGGACAGGCTACCCTGGCGTCTTCTGTTGTCTCGCTCGCCTGTCAGCAGATGTGACCTGGAATAGTCAAATTCACTTCCGAGGTTTCTGTACTGTAACTTTTAGGGAGCCATGAAGCAGAGATGCCATTATGCTGTGCTGCACACATTCTGTCAAGTTTTGGTTAGGAAACTGAGCTGGTGTCGTACATTCTTCCAAGAAGAAATCCGTGCCAGAAAAATTGATTTAAGAAACAGAGCTAGTGGAGCCTGTCCAAAAGAAAATGCGTGTGTCTTGCGGAAATGGATTTTAACACAGCTTCTTCTTGAGCAGTTTTAAAAACAGCCGGTATGCTAATCATACCATTCAAATTTACCAAGGCCTCCTCCACAACCCGTTTGAAAGCAACTATCTTTGAAGTTTGCCAAATTGTGCTGGATTTCCAAAGTCTGTCTTAAGCACATTTTGCCTTTGATCGTGTAAATGCTTGCATGCTGCTCTGTTGGGTGTTCAAGGTGGTTACAGGCTCCCAAGTAAGTCGGAGAGAACAGGCATAGGTGCAGATAAAGACTAGGCAGAATAACCTCCCGGTCCATCTCGTGATTAACTTCAAGCCTCTTGCTTGTACAGGGCCACACACAAGATTTAAAAAACCACAATGCTATAAGGAATATGTTTATCTGATTTATGACCTTTACCATGCTACCAGGATTCTCACCTGATAGCTACAGTCTTCACTGGCTTCCCATGAGGTGCATTATACTCTTGAATAAGGAGAGCAACATCACCCTTACTTGTAAACCGCTGCGGCCCTGTTCATTCCTGCCTTTGTTCCTTGCTTTTTATGTGGCTTGTGTAAATATAGCATATAGTGCTTGCCTGATGCGATATTCTAGCCCTTTCCATGTAACCTTTCAAGTACAGTAATTCTGGAGTGAATTTTCAGCATAGCTTGTAAATGTAGCTAAATGATTCCCTGCATTTAATGGAGCACAGTGCATTGTCTGTAGCATCTGCTGTGAAACAGGAACAATTCAGTGTGAAATGTGACAGGAGAGAATTCCTGGGCACTTTTCTTTTAACCTTGTTGTGACCTCAGCCCCAACCCTACTCACAGTAGTGTCTCCATCAATGACAAGAGCACACAGATTGTCCAAATCAATTTTTTTTTTTTTGTTCTTTTCAAATACTTCTGGCAGTGATGTTACTATTTGCTCAGCAGTAGCACCTGGGAGTTGTGACAAGGAAAGGAAATGTGTTTCAGACAAGCCAGGAACAGCACTAAGCAGTTGGATATACACAATCACATTCTCCCCAACTGCAATATTCAGACAAATACCAGTGGGAATCCTTAACTGAAGATGGCACTTTGTTTTCACATTATCTGATCACCAAAGTAAACAGAAATTTTTTCATGTCACCTGTGGGCAGCAACTGAATCGCCTTTGAGAGGTTTAGAGTTTGCCTCTCTACCACA